CTGATACAGGGTCAGTCAGTAGCTCTGCTATTATGCTTGCAATTTTCATACAGTTTTAAATTATTTCAAAATAAAAGCATTAAAGTACAAAGTAAAAAGAAACTAGGAAGACTTTCTGATAACTTCTTGATAATCCCTAAACAACACGTCTATCATTTCCACCGCACGAGTGGGGAAACAGAGGCTTGGTGAAGTTAAAGAATGTGTCAAAGGTCACAGAACTAGAAAATGGCAGAGCCGGGATTTGAATATATGTTTGAACTTCCAAAGCTCCATTTTTTATCTACCACATTATTCTTCTGCCTTCAAGAAAAAGGAACATAGGGCCAATTAAATGACAGGAAAACATGAGTTTTACCAAGGGTCCGTGAAAGCCCATTCAGGTGCCCCATGCCCTCCACCCCACCACCCCAGTGGCACGCCAGGTGACTTACAGTTTTGGCTTTGTTGAGGTGTGTCATCTGGATGTAGCCCCGGTCATGTCGGGAGAGATAGAGGAAGTAGAAAGGGAAGCAGGCCCAGAGGTAGCAGCAAGGCACCCACACGAGGACGGTGTTCTGAAAGCACTTGGTGAACTCGGGGCTGCTGGTGTACCATGTGGCATTCCAGTCCTGCAGACACACACGACAGCGTGGCTTAGGGACCCCGCCACCACCACCAGGAAGCAGGGCTTTCCTGGGGCTCAGCACAGCTGCTGTGGGGCTGCCCGAGGCAGACCAGAGCTCTGCACCCCAATGCCCAGTGGGGTACAGGTTGCTGCCAAGGAAGACCATGAAGCAAGAGCTGGGAACAGAGTGATTCATGTCTCACCTCACAGAACAGGCAAGGTCCTGGGACTTGTGGCAAGTACCACTGCTGCAGAAACAGACCACACCGCTTCACAGGACCTCTCCAGGGGACATGCTCTTTGGTACACAGAGGACCCTTTGGTCACATGCCTCACTCTGACTTTACCGTCCGGGGAACTGCAAACTTCCTGACCCTCTTTGTCACCTTCACCATCACCACCATCATGGCAGCTCTAGTGCCAGGCCCTACTCCACCAAATCCTTTGACTCTAGGACTTAAGTATTTTATCATTTCTTTTTTTTTACAATGTGAAAATTTTGGCCAAGTGTTGTGGTGCATCCCTGTAAATCCCAGAACTCAGGAGGCTGAGGCAAGAGGATCACCACAAGTTCGAGACCTGCCTAGACTACAAGAACAAGACTCTGACTTAAAAAAGAAAAGTGGAAACTAAGTCACGGAAAAGTCGAACCCAGGATCTCATAGCTGGGAAATTCCAGAGCTGAATCCAAATTCAGGCAATGAATCCTACATCTCACCATTAAACTATCCAACACTCAGGAGTCTGAGACAGGAGGGTCACAAGGATAGTAAATTTGAGGATATATGGCAAGTTCAAGGCTAGCCTGGGTTACACAGGGAGACCCTATCTCAAAAAATAAACAAACAAACAATTAATAACCCCCAGCACTGAGGGAGGCTGAGGTACACCAAGTGCAAGACTGAGTTCTGCCTGGGCAGCTTAGCAAGATACTGTCTCAAAATAGAAAGGGCTGGGGACACAGCTCAGTGATCAAGTACTCCTGGGTTCAATCCTCAGTAATGGGGAAAAAAAAGAAGAAAGCAAAATAAAATGAAAAGCTGTGTGTTGTTAAAGAGGTACGCCAACAAATAAACAGATCTGCACATACGTAGCCAGATCAGGTAAATATGCCCGAGAATTAACCTCCACCAGCTGTCGGAATTCTGCATCAGAGAACCTAAATTTGTTTAATTCCTGATCTGACTGTGGACTGGGTTCACAACTTTGGGAAAAGCTGCTGCCCTGTGGTGGGGTCTGTTTCCCATCTTTGTTGCGATCAGACTGGATCAATGTGAAGAACAAAAGAGCCCCCAACCCAAGGCCAATTTAGCCCACCAATGATTCACTGTTGCAGTTTTAGGTATGCTTTAAACCTCAGATTAGCTGCGAACATTGATAATCAGCTCATTTCACATGAAATTTTGGATTTGGGGCTTCTCTGCAAAAATGAGAACATGGGCCCACATTTCTGCTTCATAGCCTTCGGTGGGGGTAGCGGGGAGGGGGTCCTGGGAAAACGTTCCCGTGTGGCTATACGCTTCAACGCCGATGACCTCCTGTGTCCCAGCCCAGCACCACAGCCTCCCACAGCGCCCGCTGCACCAGCACCCTCAGGCTCGCAGCGAGGCCACCAAGGAGCTCCAAGGAGAAAGGAAACTTACAAAGCCACAGCAGCCTCAGAGCCTGGTTAACAAAATGCTAATGAAGAGAAAGTGAGAAGTGAGCGGGGGATCGTTTCACCTGCAGAAAACAGCGGAGGGGAACAGCAATAAGGCCAACAGTCTAAGACTGTTTGGAAACTTCAAGACACAAAGAAAAGAAACCTAAAACAACAAATAAATAGAAAAGTTTTAAAAAGACAAAGCCTCAGGCTTTTGTGGACTTGGGCATTTAGAAGACCGCCTCATAAATAAGAACTTGATTAGGAAGAGGAATGATTTATATCAAACACTGATCATCTTAATCGGCTTCATGCCACATAAGTCTTAAGGTGATAGCTGAAAAATGGATTAAGCTGCTGGAGGTTATTATACACAGAACAATTTCTGAACAGTTGCCAGAAAAATCTCATGCCAAAGGAATTTGCCCTTCTAGAAGGAAAACCAGGCTGAGTTATGAATACAAGAAACATAATTCACATGAGTGACATTCAACAATCTGATCTGGCCTGATTACTCATTGCCTGGGCTGTTGCAATAGCAGCTCCTCTCCTGACCCTCCTCTGCCCCTCCACAGCCAGTTATCCAGCTGTTCCTATCCCATGGCGTGCACCTACCCACTCACCCACTCTGTGTAGACCCATGCCTCTACTCAGCCCCCAGCCTTATGCATAAATTCTCTCTTTCTCTCTCTCTCGTTTGTAACAGCTAATACATCTGGGTGCTAATGCTCCTGCAAACTATGCAAAGAGCATATGGTAACAGCCAGCAGCCCCACAGGCAAACTGCCGCTGCTCACATCTTCTACCTATGCCAAATACAGCCCATCTATTTGGCGCCCTCAGAGAGTATGAGGAGATTTTACTCTGTCCTGTCCTTGGCTTTTTTTTAACCTAAGCAGTACTGGAAACTGACCTTTGTTAGTTTTACTTAATTCTTGACATTTGAAATTCTTTTGCCCAGAGTAGAAATGAGAAGTCTTCCATCTCATTCCTTAAAATCTCCCACCCAGTTCCTCTCTCTAGAAGCAACTATTACCAATTTCTTAGGTGCCCTTCCAGAAAGTAACATATACATAGGCAACAAGAACAAACCGTTCTGTTATCAAATGCAAGGAAGCATACTTTGCACAATATTCTGTACGTCGCTTTTCTTAACAACAGATCTTGTACGTGAAATTTCTTCATTCTCAGCAATGCACTCTCTGTGCTCCTTTGTAAGCATGAACCCTAAATGTCTCCTGCTGCCTCAGTTTTTGGGTCTCCCTTGCAAACAAACAACGTGGCTTTGGGGAAAAAGTGTCATTTCACATGTAAGCAAGCACATCTATGACACAACTTTCTAAAGGGGAAACTGCTGGGTCAGAGGGTGCACACTTAAAGGTAAGACAGGCACTGCCGCCACAGCAGGATCTCCGATGTATACCCCACCTCCCTGTGCTCTGGCTCTGCCAAAGTGAGAGAGGAAAGTATCTCACTGTAGTTTAACTTCCTGTTCTCTCTATGCCAAGAGAAACTCAAGACCTTTCCAGTGTGTCTAAAAGCAGTGAGGAAAATTCACAGGCTCGAATATTTGCATTAATAAATGAGATGGGGTGGAAGAAGGGCTGTGGTGTTCAGGGCAAACACACACACACACACATACACACACACACTAAAAATAAATGAGACTGACCTTGCCGCCCTCTCTCCTGTGGTTAACAATCTCCAATGGCTCCCCACGCCTTCTGCATGCAAGTCCCACCTGCTTCCCTACAATTTCTCCAGCACTGTTCTTCACAGTGCCAACCCAGGCATTTACTCAAAGGAGTAGTTGCAAGGCACGGCCCTGGAGATTGAGGAAGTCCTGGTCCTTGCCCTTACAGCACTCTGCGGAGCCAAGGCAAGTGACTGGTTTCTTCCATTATCTCTTGGTAGACCCTCTCTCCATGCTGCATTTTCCCTGACAAACTCCTATTTATCCTTCAAATTCCAGCTCAGATACCTCCTTTAAGGATCCTTCCTCCTCTCAGCCTCTCACTGTGGCAATGACTAGTAACTATCACTGTGTATACTGTAAGGACCTGAACCATGTTTTGTCTACCTTTGACACTAATCCTCCTCACCCAGCAGGTGCCCAGAAGTTACAAATAATCTAAAACCATGCCTTCCCTCTCCAGGATTATTTCCTACCTCATTTGTTGCTAGCTTCCCTTGTTCATTTGGTTGGTTTGGTTTTTGTAAATAAAAACCCACACCAAGCTGGGTGTGGGGCCAAATGTCTGTAATCCTGGTATTCTGAGAGGCTGAGGCAGGAAGATCTCAAGATCAAGCCCAGCCTAGGCAATTTGACCACTTAGCAAAAAACCCTGTCAAAAAATAAAAAGGGCTGGGGATTCAGGGTAAAAACCCTGGGTTTAATCCCTAGTGCTGGGGCAGGAGGAGGGTTGCTCCTAGGGCTCGGGGTTAGTCCAGGCAGAGCCCAGCTATGAGCTTTGGCTTTCTGATTAGGTAAGGTGTAGATTAGAACTGGACAGGTGCATCGCTTCCCCAGTGAGGCAGACATGACGGCACACCTCCTGGGAGGTTCCAGTGAGAAGGCAATGGCCCCATGAGGGAGGCGCTGTGAGGGCTGGAGCATTCTCCAGACAATCTGTGATGGCTGTGAGGGTCAAATATCAACCAACAGCCATCCCCACCCCTTCCACCTCTACTGGCTCCTGCTGGTGTCAAGAAGCTTAAAAGACAAAGAAAATCTTCCGGCTGGCAAGTTGGCTGAGGAGGAAAGAAGGGCCCTGAGGACGCGGACACAGGTAAGGAGATGGTCAGGAGCACCCGGCAGAGGAAGTCGTCCCCAATAGGACAAACTGAGGCAAGCTCATGGCTGGATTCCTGCTTAAGGCAAGGTGGCTGCCAGAGAGGGCAAGGAACAGGGACACAGAAAGGGGAAATCTGCCTCAGAACAGGAACTTTCACTGCTGGGGAAGGCAGCCAGGAGGTCCACCCTGCCTCTCCCAACTCCCCCTGACCCCTGCCAGCTGCAAGGCTGGCTCTGACCACAGCTGGCACTGCCATGAGGGGTCTCGTGTGAGCCCCTCAGTGGCCACACCCAGAGATGTCCTCCATCCAACTGCACCCAAAACCCGGGAAGCAGGAAACGTGGCCCTCTCTTCATGGGGTTCACCCATGTCTCCGGGAAAGGATGAGGTAGAAATCTGAGGGCCCCAGCCTGGGCCTCCCTCCTAGGCCGAGGGTCCTCAGGGATCAGCTGGGCCAGGCCAGCACGCGGATTCCGCTCAGGAGAACCATGGACCCACAAAAGTCAGCTCCAGAAGAGGAGTCAGGAACTCTTCACCGTGTGACTTGGCCTGCACTCTGGGAAGCCC